GGCGGAATCGATATACGTCCGTAAAATGTGTCGTTTTAAAAAATGTTCACGGTATATTACAATATTTCAAATTAATATAAACTATAAACAAAATAATAGGTAATATATTATATATATATATACCTTTCTCTTAAAATGTATAATAAATTATAAAAAATTATAAGTTATGAAGTACTCATCAAATGTTCTACCATCAAATTATTTGCATGCTTTGTTTATTCTTTCTCTTAGCGAAGTCATTTTATTTTTTCTCTCGAGGCTTCTGCTCTTGTTTGTATTGTTTTTTTAGATCACATCTTCAATATTTCTTCAGAAAAATTGAGCAAAGTGTAAATGACAACTATGAATTTCAATATCACAATTTTTTTTTAATCATTCATACATCAATTTCAAAATTTAACATGACAGTTTTTGGTATTAAATTGCAATTTAATGTTAATGTATGTTGTAGGTACAAAYATATATAATAATTATTACTGTCTATTTATACCAATTTGAAGTTCTTAAACCAGTATTTACGTATCACGACAAAAATATACCACAAACAATTATAAAAAAATTTACCATGACTAATTGTATAAGGTCAATTGACCTAAAGTCTACTACTATGCATATACTATGATCCATATTTTATATTGCTATTAAATTAGTTTATTTTACTTAAATACATTAGGTTAAAATATAAATCATTGTAAAATCAATAAATTTATCATTCCGCTCAGAATCTAAAATAAATACATAAATAGGTGCTGTTGGGCCCAAAGGAGATACTGGACCAATTGGATCACCAGGTCCCATTGGATTTTCTGGAACGCGTGGTGTAAAAGGCGATATAGGTGTTCGTGGTCCAATAGGAGATAAAGGTAAAATACTATTTTGATACATAATATTATCGAGAGTGCTATAATCACAATTATATCATATTTTTTTGGGTAGGAGACAAAGGAGAGAGAGGATCTGATGGAGAAAAGGGAGATCAAGGATTCAAAGGTAAACGCGTTTATATAACTCAACTCCTCTAATTTAAATACAGTTCAATTATTTGTTTTAAAAATTATCTATCTTTTTATTCATAACTCATCCAATACAACAGTATTCACAGCAAATAATTATGGTTTACGTTATAAATATAAAACAATTATTAAAACTAAACTAATACATATTATATATTAAATGCCATTAAATTTACAACGAATAAAACATAACATGTTTAACTATTTTTTATAAACTAAAAAGTTCAATAACTAGATTTCACCAGAAATTACATTTCTATAAAATTGAATCAAGAAATTAACTGCCAGCTATTTAGTTTTTCGATATACCTRCAAACTACCAGATGTGTTATAATTTTAKAAGTATGTGTTTATTTATTTTCATTTATAATGTTAACTTAAGCAAAAATTAATAATCATATTTTATATACTGTAAGAATAACAAAATATTTTTTATAAACATTCAAAGGTCACATGAGAATAATTCATAATTTATTATACTTTATAACTTCACTTGGTCGATATAAATAACTAAGTTTACAATGATTTTTTTTTTCTATTGGCGTAATAATATAAGAAAAAACTATTCTCCCGACATTATTATTTTCAGATTTTTCTTCAATTAATGAGTTTCCGAGTTCATAAATAAATAAGATGTTTACTTATTATTGCAGGAGAGCCAGGATTGGCTGGACCACCAGGTTTAGTTGGAATTGAAGGTCCAGAAGGGCCAAAAGTAAATATCCATGACAGTTTTTATTACAAAAATACATAGAAACAATATATATCATAATAACAATAAACATAACAACAAAATACATAAGTCTTTTAATTTCTTTTTAAGATAACTTAATAAATATCATAATAACAATAAACTGATTCGAGTATAAGTAAAACTACATTTTATCTTACAAGTCAATAATTTTTTTTCGAAAAAAACAAAAATATTTAAAAAACGAAATAATTTTACTATGAAAAGCGAAACTTATTGTTAATTCTTTTAGGGATCTGAAGGACCTCACGGTGAAAGTGGTACAATTGGATTACCAGGTAAAATATTATGTTTTACATACAAATTCACTTCAAATTCATAATAATATTCTGAATAGGTGAAAAGGGGAAACCAGGACCCGCTGGATTGCCAGGATATCCTGGTGCTCCGGGTGAAAAAGGTGATAAAGGAGCATATGGTAAAGATGGCATCTCTGGTGAAAAAGGAGAACGAGTAAGCGTTTTCACAATTTTATACTTAAAGTATTTGAAAATAGAACTACTAGAGTGAAGTTTCATTAAGAAACAAAATTATTGGTAAAGTAAATTATAACGTGTAATCAGAGGACTTAAGATAAGTTGCTGCAAAAGTGTACACATAAGGTGACTTAAAAAGTTTTTAATATGTAAATTAAAAATAAATTGTGTTGTATCAATTAATACATAGATTATCAAACATGGATTGATRTATTTTTAAGAATTACACTTAGGTTTTGTATAATTTTCCCTATTATTATAAAAATTACAATCTGCTWAATAGGCAATATAATAAAATACATTTTAAAAATTTAAAACAAATACATGAATGAAAAGGAATTTAACTTTAACATTTTTATATTTATCGCAATAAAATATTTGTATTCTATTTTTAGATCCTTGAAAATCTTTAGGGTAAAAATAGTGCTCAACATTTTTTCAACTGAGTAAACTGTCAAAAATTAAAATGTTCGATATAGATAGTTATCACATTACAGTTATTGATTATTATAAAAACTAGATTATAATGAATAATCTATAAATATACAAGCCAAATACCACTTACTTATTCATATAGCTACATTTCAAAAAACAGCAAAATTTATAGAATTGAAATTTGATAGTGGTTGCTCTAATGATCTAAATATGCAATCAGAAAGAATTTTTTTATATTCATATTTTCAAGATATGATCAAACATGAGATTCATTGTGAAAATTAATCATTTTTTTTATTAATAATTACCATCGGTTGTAGATTATAATAGTAAAATTAAAAATTAGTATACCTAKTTATCATCTATTGCTGATGCGTATCTAGAGCTTACAGATGAAGGTTTTTGATAACAACCCTCGGACGCTTATTGGATTGTACATAGTTGATAGGAATGGTGTAGTATGATATACTATTATGATATTATGATACTTCGATTTCTCCCAGGCAAAGAATTATTGTCTATAGCTATCAAATGTGTCTTTTTGAATTTTGAGATGAATATAAGTTGATTTACCAAAGAAACTACCCCGACCGATTATATCCAAAGAGTTTTTTCGAATAAACATGTAATCAAAAATCCTTTTAATAAAATAAACAAATAGTGATAAAATTTATTTTGTTGTATTGTTGGTGGAAACTGGTAATCAATTTCTATTGATTTGGAGCTTAAAGTAAGCCGTAAATAAGGAAAATGGAACTTTTGTGGTGGGATCAGCAAACCGATTTTGTGTAATCAAAGGTTTTGATTTTGTCAATTCTTATGATAGGTTGTGATTTCTGTGAGAAAGAGAACGAAGATAAAAGAGTCCATTTAGTTCCATTTTAATGAATATTATCATTATTTTATTTCTTTTTAGTGATGAATTTACTATACTTACGACTCTAATTAGAAATACGGATCCAGTCAGCATACTTAGTGCTTTTAGTATTTTATTATAATTAAAATAATCAATACTACTCTATTCGACAGAGTATTTTTTCGAAGATTGAGCTGGTTGAGCTTTGGTAAAGAAGACTTAGTAACTTATCGATTTGTACACAATGCAGAATTGATCGATTTAGAATACAGGTACAATAGAACATAAACTATAAATGGCATAAAAATGAATGTGCACTATTGGGCTATCTGTGCAATACTATAATGAAATTATAAATTTATAAATGATAAACTATAAGAAAAAACACGAAATACTTCACATATCATCAGTATAATTGAATCACTGACATGAAATATTTTAAACTTTATACACTATAAGTATACAAATTTATTTTATTTCAGGGAAATACGGGATTACCAGGAGAAAGAGGAGAAACTGGACCAAGAGTAAATATTATATTTCCAATACTATTTTTCTCAATTAAATACCCATTAATTATTTTTGAACAATTGAAACATATTTACAAAAATGTGTGAATTAGAATTAAGTTTAATGGAATATTTTTCAAAATAAATGTTTACATCCTAATTTTATATMAAGGATTATAATTGTTATATTTAATTTACACATTCTTTTTTAATCAACACTAAAATTAAAAGTGTTAATAACTGTGTCAGAGTTAATTAAATAAAYTAGTTTTGTATAGATCATGTAAAAAATAGTTTGATTTATGATGAAAAGGTGAATCTAAATTTAAAATAAACTAATTTTAAAATATGATATCAAGAATTTATTATGTAGATCAAAAAATAAGAGATAAAATTAATTTTTTAATACTTTTATAGGGATTCAGAGGTGCTAGAGGACGTGAAGGATCTGAAGGAATTCCTGGACCAAAGGTATGCAATAAGAACATAAACTTATACGAAATCAAAATGTAGATTATACATACATTTACACACGAGTCATTTATTTAACTTGAACAATAACAACAATTAATACAATTCAAACATATTTTTTACAAAATATATTTGGTGGTTATAGATGATTTATGAAAAAAAATGATAACTAAGTATATTATATGTGACTTATAATAATCTATAAATGGTTATCATTTTCATTCAAAGTAGGTATTAAATAAATTCTTTACCTATTAGTTATTATTATTATCTCTATTATMTAAAATTTCAAGTTAAATAAAACTCAAAATAACACAATATTTTTCGAATATTCTTAAAGTCCATAAACGTTAAAATTTAKGTTTATTAGTGTTTTGAAGCGTACAAAAGTATATCCTGTGATTTACGTTGCATTGATTAGTTGATTATAGATAGCACATGTGATTTACTACACATAAATATATTGTTTATAACTAATATCAATTACCAACACATAATAATTTTAAATAAAATTATGTATTTTTATTATATCCTAAATTACAGGGTGATACTGGACAACCTGGTCCTACTGGTGCATCGGGAGAACGTGGAATACCGGGTTTGTAATAATTCATTCATTTTATTTATAAATACAGTACAATATTCTGTTATTGATCGTGGTTTAATTTATTGTATTTATATGGATTTAACAATAATTACGAGAAAATARCAATCGAATTGTTTTGCTTCTCGATATAAATATTATTTCAATATATTATTTTATGATAACATGAGTTTATTGACAGGATTTTATTGTGATATAAATTATAAATCATTGTCTATGTTTGATACGGTATATCAGTATATCGAGAGGATATTAACGTTTGGTACTTGTGATAAAGGTAGAAATCTACCTTTCGATGATCTTGCGATGAAACAAAATTGCTTCGGCACAGGTATTAATAGCGTACTAAAGGAATAGTAATATGCATTTTGTAAATTAATCAAAAATATTTGAATTTGGTAAGACTCTGTGATATTACAGAACATATTATAATATGTCACACATGTCTGGCATTTTTTATTTGTATATATTCAGTATMATAAAATATTAATATCGTAATGGTGTTTYAAACTAGATTACATTGSTCAATATATATTTTAATTAATTGAAGATGATTATACTACATATAAAATGTCGCAAATTATTAATAATCTACATTGCATAGGGCAGGTGCGGATGGCTTAAGAGGATTTGTTGGTCCTCCAGGTGCACCCGGAATAAGTGGAAAAGATGGTTTACCTGGTTTTCCGGGAGAACGAGGTCCTCCAGTTAGTAGCTTATAAATTATCTAACATAATATCATATACAAACTAAACTTTCATAAATTAAAACCAATAACACTAATATACATATATTTAAGTACATAATAAGTCATATCATGGGAAATATAAAGTTAAATTGCAAAATATTTATATTTTAGGGTGATACGGGGCCTATAGGTGTTACCGGAATCCCTGGAGTCGTTGGACCACCAGGTCAATCAGGCGAAGTAAGCATACGAAAAACATTAAAATAATCGTATATTTGAAACATAATTTTTTGAGCTTTTTCATATAGATAGGTCCTGTGGGAGAACCAGGTCCACCAGGTCAGCCTGGGTTACCAGGAGAAGCAGGAAGACCGGGTGACGCAGGTAAAAATAACGAAAAGAAAAATTTGATTTATTATGTTAAAACGAATTTTCTATGATGTTTGTTTGTCTGAAGTCTATTAGACTTTATTAATATACCATTATGTGATGAACATTTGAAAAACTATATATAAATACTTAATATAACGTAAAGTTTTTTGTTTTTTTTTTTTAAATTAATTGATAGGTACACATATTAGTATGATATTGAATACTCTTTTTATATTAAAACTGATTTTATAGGAAAAGAAGGACTTCCAGGCCCAGTTGGTCCACCTGGAAAACCTGGTGAACCAGGATCTCCAGGATTACAAGGGTTCCCAGGCGATAGAGGTAAGTCGACATAAATTATGTTTTGGTATATTTGTATTTAAAAAACAAATCRACGAATTTTTCACAGGATTTCCGGGAGTACCAGGAGCAGCTGGACTAAAAGGTTCGTATTTTAAAATTTAATTATGTAGTAAGTCAAAATTAAAAACATTGTGTTCAACAGTATAATCCACTTATGTAGGGTGACCAGATTTTCCGGATTTACAGGAAAGTTAGGTATTTTAAAAGTTAAAACTTTGTCCCGTAGTCGCAACAAAATCTTTAGTTATATTGTTTAAAGATTTTTATTCAATACATAATGATTTCTCATTTTATCAAAAAAAAATGAATCCCTTATTTTAGTATTTTATAACGGATCGCCCTAATTTATCTGGCTATCAGATATATAAATATTATTGACTAGCATATGTTTTTATTATTATTACTATTGTTTCCAATTTAATTATCACATGTTATTATAAAAACAACGAAAACAATTTTAGTTAGTTACTGTAGTATAAGTTAAATTTTAATCAAATAGAAAGTTAAAAATTCTAAGCGATAGCGGTCATCGACCTATATTACTAAGTAATTATATTTTATAATTTATTTATAATGCTATTAAAAAAATGTATTTTATTATTAATAATACGACATAGATTGGATTAAATTTTTCCAAAAACATAGCATTTTAAAAGTCATTGTTACAATACAATTTTGGTTTTGTCTTGTTAAGCGTGAATTTCCAATTTTTCTGAATTTTGTTTTTATTTTACCCAAACATTTTGCAWTTTTTTATGAATTTTCTATGTGAAGCGAAAAATTTAATATTACTTTACAATGATTTGCGTTTTTATCATTATTTTTTGTGTCTGTTTCCACGAAAATAGTCGAAATAATACTTTGATTTTCAACGTTCATTGAGGTTACTTATAACAAATTGAATCTAGTTAGTACTTTTGAGAGGTGAAAATTTCAAATTCCCAATATTTAAAAAATAATTAGGAACCAAAATTGKAAAAAATAAGAAATATCATGCAAAATTTGTGTTTTTTATGAAATTKATTTTACAACGTTTTGTGACGATGACGTCGACATAGGATCCCACMCAACATTATAAAGTTTGTATAGGCTTAAAATACCGTATAGACTAGATAAGACGGTTGTTGAATTTTTAACCTGAGAGTTTGATTTTGTGAGTAATATTCTTTACTGAAAGTAAAAAAGTTAAATTTCTCTTTTATTTTATATCGGTTTTATTATTAGAAACATTGTTTTTAAGGTGACGCTGGACCTCCAGGTCCTCTTGGTTCAACTGGAGATAAAGGGCAACAAGGTGAATCTGGCAAAGAAGGACCTCAGGTAAAGTAATGCAGGCTTACAATGATATTTAAATTGAAAAAGACTGTTACTTACATACTTTTTTCAGAAATAAGCTGTTATTTATATGTAATTTTTTTTATATGAATACCTAACAAACAAATAAAGAAAACTTTATTAATCAATTTCAGTTGAAATATTTTTTCAGACAATTTAGAAAGTATATTATAAAATAGTTCTAACAAAACAATATAATGCGTTGTATTAACTAATTTTTTTTTTTTAAATGTAAATAGAATTTAAATGTACTTATTTGCCGTATATACCTAGTAATATAGTAAATGGACACACTTGAATTGTTTCCCGTGAATTTATGTTTTAAAACTTTATTCTAATTGCTTTCTAATTTTATAAATATCATTCTATTGGATAATGAATTGAAAATATATGGTTTTTAAAATTGACTAAATCTGAAATATGAATTTCATGTATGAATGTACCCATAACAAGACATTTATGTAACAACGTTTTATATTGTGGAAGGTAACATAAATTCATACATAACTGTTTTGGTCCAATTACTGAATGTGTCCTACACATCATTATCTGTTTGTTTATTTCTCCCTTTGTTCATACCTTGGGAAAAAAATATTTCCTCAGCAGGTATTAACAACCGACAAGAATACATAACGCATAAGAATACAAACATAAATCCTTGTTAAAATATTATTTTATCGTTCTTATTTCTTTTTTATCGCCAATTTTACCTAAATGTTTRAAACTACTATTAAATTCAATCGTTTACAGTTTTATTTACTCATTTTTATTTTTATTTTTGTATTATGTAAGCACATTAAAGAAGATCAATAGTACAAAAATTATTATTTTCAAATATTTTATTTTCGTTATGAACAAATATTATTTTATATTTAATTTATAAATATTAATCAAAATTAAAAACTGTTCTGATCGTGAAAGCTAGTTCAATGAAAATATATAACTATTAATTTTAGTTAAATGAATATCTTCTTTATCGTTGTTCGATTTTGAACGTCGTGACTTTCATGTAATTATATTATTTACATTTATCCAGAACTCTCTATTCCCTGCATTCCGGATGCTGTCTGACATTGGCATTTGTGTGAGATTTTAATTTGGTCTATATAGCGGATGGAGGGCMTGTCTCTGCTCCTCTTTCCTTCGACTTTACCTTAGATAATAACCTTTTCAATATCATCTCTTCTTATCACGTGGCCAAAGAATATTTTAGTATTTGGCTCTGAATTATGATCAAAAGGCGGTCTTGGGGTTGTATAATAAATCCCTGGATTATGGATATACGTATGGTCGGTCCATGGAATTCGCAACATTCTTCCATACGTAATAATTTCAAATGCTTCTATTCTTCATTGGAACGATGAATTTAAGGTCGACGATTCGAAACCATATTTCATTATAGGGAATATCAGTGTTTTCATTAGATATAACTTCGTTTCTTTTCTGATATCATGATTCTTCCATATTTTGACAAATTTGGCAATCGAAGTCTTAGCCATACCTACTCTTCGTTGGATTTCCTCTTCCGAACMACCTTCATAAAAGTGCTCCTAGATATATTACATTGTTTTTACGATCTATATCGAGTATGAGGTTAAACATGAGAGGTAATGTTCTTGTYCTCTCAACAGCGATTATTGAGCATTTAGATCTATTAGTTTTAAGCCTGCCTCTTTGCTAAATTTCTCTACAAGTTCTAGAAGGTTGGCCATTTCCATTTCTGTTTTTGCTAAAAGTACCGYATAGTTAGCGTATCTTAAATTGTAAATTTTCTTGCCACCAATGGACACTCTTCCTTCCCATTCTTGCGTAGCGTGTCTCATAATCCATTTTCCATATATGTTCAAGAGAAACGGTGACAATAYGCAACCATGCCTGAAAGATCTGAAAGATCAGACGCTTCACGGACATACGCTTGGCTATTAGCATGCATCATTTTTATTATTGCTATAAGGTGCTCTGGCACTCCCATTTCTTTTAAAATGTGCCACAGAAGATTTCATGTATTAGTGTCACAAGCTTTAGTATAGTCTAAGAAGCAGCAATTAGCTGTAATATTATATTCGTAGCATTTTTCTATTATTTGTCGAATGTTTAGGWGTTGGTGCGTTGTTCCTCGTTCCGGCACAAACCTGCTTGTTCTTAAGAGATTTGTGGGAGCAGATATGGTTTTAGCCTTTCTTGTATCACATATAATATGATCTAACTTGCATGGCGTACTAATTAGGGCTATAGTACGATGGTTTTTACAGTTTCCTTTGTCTCACTTCTTATRGATTGGGATGTATRTGCCATATGGACTCACACCATTCCTTTGAACATTYGCCTGTGGTCCATATCTTGGAGCGAATTTTRTGGATTATATCAACCCCCTTTTCTGCAGTTGCTTTTATCATTTCAGCCACAATGTCATCTGAACCWGCAGCTTTGTGGTTGCGTAATTTTTTGATAGCCATCTCACTTTCACTTCGTAGTATAGATGGTTCAGATTGGTCCCATAATTCTGTTTAATTTATTGCTGCATTCGTATTATCATTATCAGAGGCCATAAGCTTCTCGCAATACTGTTGCCATCTTTTAATTACTTCCGACTTTGTTAATAGTGTCATACGATTTGCTTAAAACTCCGTGATAAGGCTGCAACTTTTTTWAAAATAGATCTAGGCTCTTGATTAGTTTTATGTTGTTCTATTTCTTAGCACAGTGAATTTATAAATAACTAAATGAGTATAGTTACATTAAATTAAAAACAATCAAACATTTTTCTTGATATATTTTTTTTATTTTTGAACTACTTATATTTAAGTATTGGATCGTTTAAAATAAAATAATATAAATTAATTCATAATTAAAAATATACGAATGATAATAAATATTTAAGTGTGTTCTAAATTAAAGACTATAGATAATAAACAAGACATTTCACTTTCAATGTTTTGAGGTTTTGAGTGTTTAGTTTAAATTTTCCATAAATAACTATTATATTATGAAACTGTAATTTAAATTTAAAAAATAATCATTTTATTTTAGAATTTTATATTCTAAATGATATATGAAAACAAACTAAATATTTATGAATAATGATTATGGAAATATTGAATGTGTATCTTAACAAATATTTTTAATTTAAAAATRTTTATAAAAAAATTTAATTATACTATACGGTAAAAAAAATTTAAATTATCTTTTAAATAGAACAAAAATGTCAATTTTAGGAATACACTATTTAAAATTCTTATTCAAGCTTTTAACTTAGCCTCTAGGTTCAGTTATTATAGTAAACATATATTTAAAAAAATGGTTATAATGAATTTACCAAAAAAAATTTAAGAAGATTTGAATTAATATTTATCCCTTTATCATAAAAACAAACATTTTAATATAAAAAGAAAAAACYAATGTTGTTTTAAAAATAATTTGTTTAGAATAATAAATTACATTTTATCTAAAACCAATAAAATTTGACAAATGTATAAATGATTTTATGTTATAGGTATGTGTTATTATTAAAAACTATGTGCAGCGCCTTTAAACTAATCTCTTAAAATATAATCCATATAAATACTTCACTTAGTTCCCATCCAAAATAAAAAAAAGTTGTGGACAACTTTCTCTACCTACTTTTGTCGATAAACGATGACTAATAGTTATAATTTTAAAAACACTACACAACTGAGATAAATTCTATTTATTTTTAAATTTGAATTATATCAGAAAATCCAAATAAAACGCATTTTATTTGGATTTATTTAATGACGATTGTATCACTGCTTAAATAATTGTCATATTAAAAATTTTGTGCTATAATTAATATTTACTTGATTTGTTTAAATTTATATTTTATTATTTTATTTAGGGTGCAGAAGGACGCAAAGGACCTACAGGAATACCAGGTGTAGTGGGTCCAAAAGGAGATAAGGTAAAAATTTAACAAAACATATAGATTCAAAATATCCAAAATATCACTTTTTAACACGCGAAAAGGTTTAATTGTTAAACACAAAAACGAACAATTAAAAATTTAACTAGGTAACGACAAAAAAATGTATCTTTGACTAGTTTAGTTCCGTGGACAAAACCAAGCAGAGTGGTTAAAGAAAAAATAGGAGGATATAAAAATAATAAGGTGCATCAACTGGGGAATAGAATGGCTACGCTTAGCTCTGCTCAAATATAAACGTTTTAAATTTGTCACAACTTCAAATCAATGTGGTTAATTAAAATAAAATATATAAAAATTACATTTTTTATTGATAATTAATAAATTCAGCTTATATTACTGGGACACTGGGCCATTATCATTACACAATATATCAAACTTTTAAAATATATTTAGGATATTGACCTATTGAATTCAGTAATACGAAATTAAACAGTATAGTTATATCAATATTTAGAGTATAATTACAATATAATTATTTTTTTACTTTATAACAATAATAATTATATAATCATATTATAGTTATATTAATAATTAATAATTATATTTATTGATATTTATAGTTTATCTAGTATATCATGTATTTTCTTGAAGAACTGAATGAAATTATTTTAAATATTGGGATCTTAACTTAAACTTTAAGCAATGATAACAAATGACTTGTTTTATGTTACCTTTTGTGTTTTTCAAAATATACGAAGTTATTAAATATATGCTAGAAGTTTAGAGTAGCGTGATTATRATCACTAGGGTGTCTTTCTTTCATAGCAATATATGTGTTAGTCTAGTATGACCAACTCTATTCTGATTTAATTTTTTTTTTCATTTGAGATGTTGTTATTTAGGTATATGTTCTATTTTATAACTGATTGTTTTATTTTGTGTAAATAGATTATTTGGTAGTAGGGTAGTTTATTCTAGTATCTATTGCAATAATTAGGAGGTGTTTTATTTAATCTGTTTTTTTTTTTCTAATTGGTGTATGGGAAGATTTCCATGAATCAGGTGTCAGGTGTAAAGATGGCTAATTTTGTTTGAAAAATATTTAAAATTGTAAAATGAGTAGGTAACATAAAATATAATTTTAATGTTGAAATTAATATCTTTCTCGTTATATCACAAAAAATAAATTCTTTCTAATGTTATAGGATTTTTTACTATAGATTTTACACAAATTTTAAATTACCAGTTACTGGTCTGATGAAATTTTTATAATTTATTTTAAATATTCTCTTTGAGTTTCCTATTTATTCGTATTATTGTTTTCAGAAAAATTAATTAATTAAACCGTACCCCATCGCGCTACATAAAATATTTGTTATTTGTATTTAATTCAACTTGTTATGATTTAGGGTGAAATAGGACTTGCTGGTCCAATGGGAAACGATGGAATAGCGGGAGCACGAGGCGTTCCAGGTTAGTAGTTCAATTCTAAAACAGTCCATCATAGCTAACATCGTATTTTGATCAATTAACTGTAATCATAAAAATAATAATAAAAAAAATTAAGAATTGTCGTTTTTCACTAAATGTCTAGGATTTCTTTATTGATTTACAAAATTAATAATTTTGGTATATTATTTTTTACATTAACTGAATTTCCATACATTATTATATGATAAGTGTACAATAAAGGAATTTCTAACCAAACCATTTTTTTTTTCATAATATTAATTTATTTCCTTAATTGTATGACTGCTTTATTTAATAGATGACATTAAATACAATTTATCATAGAAAAAAGTTATACAATTTAATCCTATTTTTATAAGTGCATTTGGGCTGTTCTTGTTATTATTATTTTAAGTTTTTTTGATATTAGACTAAAAATATACTAAAAAAAAAAACAACAGTTGCAACTAGTCATTTCTTATTTCAATAAAATTTGTACGTAATATTTCATGTTTATTGTTTTCTACAGGACCCCCAGGACCGGTTGGACCACCAGGAGAAGACGGAGATAAAGGTGATATTGGGTCTAATGTTTAAAAATATTATCAGCTTTGTCAATTGTTATCAGGACCATCAATTATTCCATAACAGGTGAAATCGGCGTTCCCGGAGAAAAGGGATTCAAAGGTTCAAAAGGAGAAATGGTAAGTAGTACATTTTTACGTTATGTAAGATAAAATTGTACTTTTTATTCATTATTATGACCTGCCTTGATAAATGAATAGCATAACCCACGAGTGAAAGGAGTAAAACAAAATACAAAGTGAAATYAAATTGAAATAGTGGTACGAATAGGTATTAAAATAAAAAAACTGGTAAGTGGATTTCGCTCTGCAGTACAGTAGGTTACAAGTRGGTTACTGACTACTGTAATGGATGATATTAAATTTGAATTCAATGATGTAATATATTGTATACAAAAAACGATTCTGGGTGGATACGGTTTATCAGTCTTGAATATTATGTTACAATATATTAATTATATTGTTATAATT